TATCAGTAATGGAAACATTAAATAGCAATACATTGGGGAAGGTTTTAGTTGTGCCTTCTTTGGCATATTCAATTTTGCAGTGAATCGCTATTTCGAAATAGCCTTTCCAAACATTTGAACATTCATCTTTACAATTGTTTCATTTAAGATATGTATTCCAAACTGGCTCATAAGAATTATGGTTGAGAGAATTCCTAAATGCTGGCCAAAGTCAAGATTTGTTACATCTGCCCTTACCTCTGGAGGCAAGGTTTGCTACCCACCACGTAATAGAGAGAAATTAGGGTTGTTTGTTTTTTCCCCACAAATCTGTGTTGATCCTTAGATTGTGATGTTGCCTGCTAGATGTTTACAAATAATTCTGGTTTTGTTTCCTTTTCTGCTTTTATTCTGGAAATTCAAGTTAATGTGATTGACCTGTAACTCTCTAGGACTTGCTGATAGTAGCTAATTTTGGACATAGTGGCTAGTTGAGTTTTGAGAGTAAAATAAGCCCTGAAACACCGTTTTAGGCCACAAGAAACTGGTGGATAGAACTGAGACTCTAAATTATGGATTGTAATCACAAATGATAATTTTAAAAAGAGTAAGTTATCCAACAGTTTAACTCTCATCCCTTGTGTATGTTACAGTTCAGTTCTTGCAGATCCCTGGCTTTATTCCTTGTTCTTGTTCTCAGTCACTGCGAGCTTCCTCAGATATGTGTGTGCTTTATCTGCCTTGCTGCTGACACCCAAGCCACACCAATCCACCAGTGTGCTTGTGCCCATTTCTTCATGCTGTCTCTTGTGGCTCCACCCTTACAGGGAAGGGAGCACCTAGGATTGATAGCTCATGTTCAAAAGGAACAAAACAAATGAGAGGGTCTGCAAAAGTTTACAAAGTTTTATTAATAAATTACACACTTGGCATGGAAATTGGTATGTTAGTCTCTGATCTCCTAGATAAACACATGGCAGTGAGTTTTGGATAAAGTGAAAGAGAAGAGAGAGAGAGAGATGAATTAAAGAGTGTGAGAAAGGAAAGAAGGAAGAAAGAAACAAACCCCCAGTCAGTCCTGGATCCAGTGTCAATCAGTCCAGGTGATAGGGATGTCCAGGGTTTTGGGGGCACTGCATGGACTTGATAGGGGTACGTCTCTCTGCCCTGGAGATTTCTCATTTTCTATGCAAATTAGTTGCTTATCATGTGCAGCCTGTTCTTTTAGACCTTTCTGGAAATGGATCAGAGGGATTCTGATGTCTTTAGTCTTGCTTTTTCCCTACAGTCCATGCCTGCTTCTCAGCCTCATTCCAGTTATGCTGGAGCACCGTTATGCTTATCTCTTAGAGCTAGAACAAGGACATTTGTCCTGGAAAAGTGCTGCCCTCCCTCCATATGGCCCCCTTCTCCAGCCACATCCTGTTCTTTCTCACAGTGTGTTATTACCAACAATCCTTGGCTGTTACTACCAGCAATCCTTGGTTGGTTCCAGAGCTATGTGGCTATCGGTGTTTGAGACATACACATTAGCCCCCTTATCATCTAGGCCTCTACACCCTTTCAACTCTTTCAGGAAACTTAATTTGGAGCAGTTAGGAATAGTATCTCCAATATATGAATGGTACCAGCAGTACCCCATAAGCGTTTGCTTTTTTCCTTACACTTGTCTTGAATGAAAGTGTCAGACGTAAGGACTTGAATCAGTAACTGAGCGCATTAAACCCACTGTTTTCTTCAGAGTTTTCTAGGTTATATGTTGCTGTTGGGCATCTCTTTTGGTGAGAAAGACTATTATATTTAGCCTACTAAGGCTGTGCTTCATTGGGAATCCCCAAAATGGAATATACATGGGAAGAAAACAGTTGACAGAGAAAGAGTTGTTTCTTGCTAGCTCATAACCGCTTCTTCGGATTCAAGTTCTTTGTGTTTGGAAAAAAAAGAGCTACAGCTCTGTTCAGATTGCTGTCTTTGATTTACTGCATGAATATAGCTGAATTGTATGTGCAGTGAAGGGAAGGTCTTGGCAAAATCTGGTCTTAGTTGGATGGAGAGAGGTTAACCAAGACTGTAAATCTGAAAGCATTCCAACCATATGTAGTGGCTAATATTTCTTCTAGTCTCATTCTAACAGTAATGGGAATTTGGGCAATAAGATCTGTGCATGTTACCCTGATGATAGAGAGCACAGGTAGAATGCTAGTGCCAGGGATGCATTCAGTTATGTTCTTCACTGTCTATGTCTTGATTTGGAAAACTGGATTGTATGAAGATAAATTCTAGCTTTAAAAACAAAGAAGCTGTGCTAGTCTGGGATGTAATTTTGCCTGAGCCAACTAGGTCTTTTCTGCGTGTGGTAAAATCAGACCTGCAATTCAGCAATGAAGAGCCAGCCACATTACTGAGAAGCAGCAGAACCCATAGGAAAATGCTTCGGAAATGCTTTGTATGCCTGGGTCCCCATTTGACTGCGGTATCTATACTGCCTAAAGAGTCATACAATTACAGCTTGTATAATTCTGCAATGACAGGAACGTTAATACATGAAATGCTGCCTGAGAAGGTTCACAAGCAATTGCTCATCATGGGATTTTTGAGTAGTTCTAGCAGCTAAATCTGCGGAAATCTGAATCTTGTTTGAGCTACTTCATCATAAAGATATTTAACCTACAGTTAATACGTGTCTCTAAGTCCTTAATGAGTTAGCACTTACAGTAGTGAATTAATCCTGAATCACTGTATTTCCAGACATTTAGTTAATACTGCTGTTGATTAAAGCTTACCTAGTGACTGCATCGCTGAAGGCTGAATATGCTCTTAAGAATCTGAGGATGAGACCAGGTTGCTCAGGGCTTTGTGCACTTGGACCTGAAAAACCTCCAGGGAAGGAGACTGAACAAGCTCTATGGGCAGCCTGTGCCACTGCCCTCCTGGGGGAAAAGTTTCTCCTTACATCTAGTTAGAAGCTTTCTTTAAGGTTATGATGTACTTAAAAACAGTGAAAGCTAAAAAAAAAAAAAAAGCTAATTCAGATATTTGAAGTTTGAGATGAGTAGTGGGTTTTTTTCCTGATTAAGGAGTTGATTGAATCCAGTATTTTTCCCCATTGATCTAAGAGGACAGCATTTCACCCTGTGTGCTGCTTTGAGAAACCCAGTTACTGAGTTGCGGGTGCAGGGTTAAAAGTTATCTAGATGTGGAGCTTTATCTTACCTCTCGAAAAGTCTCTAGGGAACGGATGAATCAGGCCTGCTAATTAAACAAGCTAGAGGCTGCAAACACATGGAAGTGGAACAGGTGACAAGAATAGCATAAAACACCTTGGCTTCTCTTGCCAGCTGGGCCAGCCTGCAGGTGTTGACAGGCACATGAAGGTAGAGGTGGGAAAACTGTCAGCTTTTCTTCTTCTTACCTTTGACGGAAAGGGAATAAAAAGAACAGCTTATCTTTTATGTTTAAATATCATTCCAGATGAAAAATTTCATCAGATTCTGTTCTCAAGTGTGTCTCAAAAAGCAAAGAGAAAAATAAACTTAAAAAATAGAAAGAGCATGCATCTGTCTTCAATTTAACTTAGAGGGAATTTTTAAAAACCAAACCAAACCCACTAACCCTTATTTTTTTTCCCTTTCTTACAAAATCAGTTATATGGGACAAATTAATATTGGATTTAATAGGCTTTCTGTGCCCAATAGATTTTATACTTAAGAAAATTACTATCACTAGCAAATCCTGTTTATGTTGGAAAAAAAGGCACTGCTTGTATATTAACATTCTTACCAGAAAAGAATCTAGACTATTTTGCTTTAGAAGTGTTTACTAAAATGGAACTTTTAAATTTTATAGATAGGAAATTAAGAGTTCACTTGTTTGAAGTTTTATCACATACTCAGATTTAATAATAAGTTGGTGTGCAGCTTTTACTATCTGGGTCTGTCAGCCTCTGGCTACCTTGTCTCTCAAATGTTTTTACTACATCTTTACTTAAAATCTGTTTCTTCTCTTTGCTCTTTCACACTTCTGAGTCTTTACTTTCTTGTTCAGAACTACTTATGAGCACAGAGTTTGCAGGGCTGTGCAAATGACTTCTACATCTTCTAATGCCCCCTTTGGCATATTTGGTATTGGCAAATGTGTTTCAAAAGGTAATAGTGCAAAAAAAAATCTTCCCTGTGGGTAATTTCTGGTCTTTGGGGTTGATTTAAAAACCACAAACACACAAACAAACGTAATCCACTGTGGAACCAGAGAGACTATAAAAAATCCATCAAGCCATGGTAATATTTTTTTTTTTTTTTAATGACTGATACAGGGGTCAGGACCATTGATCAGTTGCCTTAGTTCTTTAGGTTGAAGTGGCTGATAATTCATTCTTCCAGGCTGCCTTGTTTGTCGCTGCTGTAGCTGTACCCTCTTGAGGAAGTGCTTGCTGTAGTATTTGGCGTTGCAAGTGGTTCCTGCTCCTCTGCCTCCTTGCCCCTGAACATCATAGTGGTGGTTGTGGATGTCAGGATGAGGCATTCTGGAGGGCCTCTCCTACTTGCATTGTCTGGTTTCTTACTTGCATTGTCTGGTCTCCAGCTCTCTGCTTCTTGCTCCTGCCCTGAGCTGTGTTGCAAGTTTGGTAGCCTGTGTCTCTGTCTTACTGCACAGAGTGGTATTGCAGTGATTCCAATTAATCACTCGGTACCTTCACACCTCTGAGTCTGCCCTGGCCAGGGAAGCAGCCAGTTTCAGTCAGCCCTTGTGGATTCTATGTTACATTATAAATATGACTAGTAAATTAAGAGTGGCTGGGGAGAACTGTTCTAAGATCTTTCTCTCTCTCTTTTTTTTTTTTTTGGTATTAGACAGAGCCTACCTGTTCTAAAATCTGTAAAAGCAGAGTAATGTAGATGACCATTTGTAGCTGAATTTGTAAATCTGAGATTCACAGATTAACTTCTATTTAACTCAAGTTTTCCAAGGTCTATCTTTTAATTCTAAAGCAAATTTATTTTCTCAACCTTCTTTTTAAACAGATGAATCATGTAAAAGACAGATTTGGTGACAGTGTGCCAGAAGAAGTGCTTCTGCTGTGTCTGGGCATTACTTCAGGAGTTGGCAGGTTGATCTTTGGCAGAGTTGCTGATTATATTCCTGGTGCAAAAAAAATTTATTTACAGGTATGTTTTTATTATTTCTATATTCCTTCAGAACTGTGTATTCTGAAGGCTTTGGTTTCAGGTACTGCTAATAAGTAAGCAGAACTGATTGGAAATTCAAATTTGAAAACTTTCAAAACTCTGGGAAATTCAGTGTATGGTGTTTGATACTAGGAGACTTTGGTGCAAAGTTTATGAATCTGACTTTTATTTTTAATGCTAAGAAAATGTCTATTTGCTGCTTGCTGTTTTCAGCTGGGAATGGAAGAAATTACTAATCATTAGCATGTGAGTGAGAAGCTCTGGGGATTCTCTAGATTCTGCTTTCTCTGTTTTATCCCGTGATTTCATAATGGTTGCAGAAAGGTTAATTTTTTTCCACATGTTCCTCTATTAAGGATTTTGGATCTCTTTTCTTGATCTTTGATAGGTGCTGATTTGGTGTTAAGTATGTTCTGAGTATAGTACGCAGTGGTATGGCCATGGGAACATAAGAGGTGCTTAATTGAGGAGGTTTTGCAGAAGGAGTCACAGCTTCCAGAAATGCTGAAGCTTGGGGATGAAGGAGGATATACACTTCTTTCCTTCCACACTTATAAACAATATTTTTTTAAGGCAGAATGTGGGATTTTGGAAAAGCTTTAGTCCACTTGCCTGTTGGCAACTGCGAGGTGTTCTCCATTTGGTCTTTTAAAATGAATAGCAAGGGAGGCATCTAGTGGATGTTGTCTGCACTGCATTATGGAAAACAAAAAATTCTTAGGAAATAATTACCTTCCTGAAGTATTTGTTGTCATAGAAAAACTTAGATTTCCTGATGTATTTGGGACATTGATTTCCTATGCTGACATATGGATGGTCCACAGGCAAAACTATTACCTTTTTTATTTTCTTTTTAATTCTGCTTTATTTTGCTGAAAGACAGTTTTATTCCTTTAGTCTAAAACAAATAAATAATCTAAGGTTATATTAGAAAATCTTTGTAAGTATGCATGACTACAGCAGTACACTTTTTTTGTGGAAAAATTGTAATGGTTTCACTTCTATTGAATATAAGCATCCTGAAGTAATCATTCACAATACTGATATTTTTACTTAAATTACAATAGTGAGGAGTCCAATTACAGTGTTTCAGCTATAATAAACTTTTGATATTTCTGTGACTTTCATTTGTGGAAAGAGCTGGGAACAACTTCTCAAAAAATTTTGGTGCATGAGAAATGACCTTACAGAGTCACTGCAGGATAGTTGATTACAAATGCATTTTCAAAGCTTGCGAAATGGGTAGTGGAATTTCTTTGCCGGTCATGAGTTATGTATTTGTTTTATCTTGGTATGTAACCTCTGATGGTGGTGATCTGTGTATGTATTTTAAAACAAATACAGGCAGATAATTTAATTCACTACAAATGCAAGGAAGCTTATCTGTCCCTAATATTTGTGAATTTGGTGCAATGTGTTTTTATATCTCTTCCTTGGTCATGTTTAGGTGGCCTCATTCTTCTTTATTGGCTTGATGTCTATGATGATTCCACTGTGCCATGTCTTTGGAGCTCTCATAGCCGTGTGTCTCTTCATGGGCCTATTTGATGGATGCTTCATTTGCATTATGGCTCCTATTGCCTTTGAGCTTGTTGGGGCTCAGGATGTCTCCCAGGCTATAGGATTTCTACTAGGACTCATGTCAGTCCCTATGACAGTTGGACCACCCATTGCAGGTGAGTATAGACATGTTCTGTAGCTGTAAATATGTTTCTATGTTTGCATGACTTTTGGCCATGTTTTCCATTCCTACATCGTATGCAGTGCACTGACATTGTAGGTTTCCTTGGTATGTTCTTGAGAAGATGTGGTGAATTTAACTGCTGTGCATTGATTATTAGTTTACTGCACTCTTCAAAGTTTGATCGATCTTTTTCATTAAGTATGCAGATGTAAAACATTTCTCAAAAGAAAGGTAAGTTTCCAGTTGGATTTAGGACCTGACATTTTCCATGCTGTTGAAGTGACAGCCTATAGGTTACCTGTATTAGAGTAGATTAGAATCCGAAAATTAACTGGATTCCAAAATTAGCTTTATTCATTCTTTGATGAGAGACCGTTTGATGAAATAAAGGTTTTGAAGCTGAATACTAGAAGTTCTTTGGGAGGTATAAATAGCTAAAGCTGTGTTCCTTACTGCTGATGATTTTCAGTGCTAATTTACTCTGAGATCTGGTGAGTGCTACTGAAAGGTACTTGGTAAGTTGTAACTGAACTATGCAGCATTATAAAGGACAACATTTTAAAGCTAGAACACCATAGACTAAGTACTTCCTGATCTGGATATACTGTCACAGCTGTTAATACTTAAATAGAATTTGACTAATGGGAGGAATTTGGAGAGAGCAATTAGAGTGAATTATTGGCAAACACGCTTTTTAATAAGAGGCTACTAGGAATGCAATATATGCAGTATATCGAGAATAAGAGGAAGAGGCACATTTAATAGAGGCAACTGTAACTAAAAGAGGGAGAATTTCTCCAAGTCATGGCAAGATATAAGTGCTGGAGAAGCTCAAATGAGCAACTTTCAAATAGGAAAAATTGTACTTGTTTTTGATGGGTGATAGTTAAGCAGTTGAGGGGTGATATACTGAGCTCTTCATTACTACTTTCAAATCAACTCTGGAATACCTTTCTACCTATATGTACATGTATATTTGGCCATCAGGTTGTCAGTGGTTATAATCTGTGCCAGCTCTCAGGTTTCTGAATCCAAGACCTGTTTGTAGATTGCTGAGGCCCCATTATTTATGAGTGGTTATTTCCTGTCTTTCCAGGCTTGCTGCGTGATAAGCTGGGCACCTATGATGTAGCATTTTACCTGGCTGGAGTCCCTCCCCTCATTGGGGGAGCTATTTTATGTTGCATCCCCTGGGTCCATGAACGGCAGAAGTTGAAAGAAAGAGCAAAACCTGTTGATGGAGAAACTACTGAGAAAATGCTGGAAAATGAAAGCACTTTGGTGTCAAACACAACAGAAAAGCCAGTCAGAGAACTGGAATCTGGCATTTGATGTTTTCTTTTCCCTATACCATCCTGACCTCTACTGAAGTTTGATTTCTACTTTTTGGCTGAAGATATTATACTACACTGAAGAAGTCTTGAACTATTGCTCAAATTGCAAAACTGTTATAAGAATCTTTTATACCATTGAACTTTCTTGATGAGTCGTTGAATTTGATCTCAAGCCACATTTTCAAGGTATTTGAAGTTTTGTAGCTTTAGTGTGTATGTGTGTAGTGATTCTGTGTGTGAAGAGAATATTTTTCTAATCCATCAGAACTGATTTCTGGAAATGTGAGAGCTGTTTTTGGTTCACTGACCCAGGATTCTTCAATCATGTCTATGGCCCATCCAATGCAGGCACACCCATGGGTGTTTATACTGGATAATGTAGTAGCTCTTATGACTGATTTGTTTTTTGAAGTTTCTCATGCTGTTTACAGTCTTTTATAATTCTGTATCGTGAACATGAATATGCATATTTTTGATTCCCTAAACTCTTGATGAAATGATTTTTTCATTAGAAAACTAAATTATTAAACATCTTTTTTATTTTCTCTAAATACCCCAGCCTGTTTAGTTTGCCAAAACGCTCACTTGTGTTTGCATTCACCTTTCACAGTAGCCCAAACAAAGAATGTTCAGGATGAAATTCTTGGGCTCAAGTTTTGAATATGTACAAACTAAGCTCTGAGTGCGAACGTGTTCAGAAGTAAAGCTGCTGAATTATAGACTTTTTTTATTTACTGAAGGCAATACTATTAAGATGCATGTGTATAATGTTTTTTCAGTGAATCCTCAGATTAGTTGATAGTTTTGAAACTGTAATGACTAATTCTTTGGAGCAGTATTGTGAATTAGACTGAATTTCAAATTATTTTGTTGTACTTGTTAGGGGTTTTTTTTTATTCTTAAAAACAAGACAGCTTTAAAAGATACATTCTAAGTGCAATACCAAGTTGTTTTTAATGTGGAAATATACATGAACTATTAAAACGAAGTTCATCAATTAAGGATTTTTGCACTAAGTGAACATGCAGATTGATTACAGGTCTATATAGGTGTGTTCAATTACCTGTAGGATATAGCTCCATATTTTATTCAAATATAAAGAAATGTCTTTGCATGTCCTATTTCTTGCTTAACATCCTAAACATATGGCTCCATTGCTTATGTATTCTTAAGTATTATACACTGTTTGTCAAGCAGGTATTTCTGAAAACCTCTTTTTCTGAAAAATATTTAAAAGCATAACACTTTGAGGTGAAAACGCTGCTTTTCAGTTTATCATAAAACACTTCTAAGTGCAGTGCTTATTTGTGGATATGGATCAGCAATCAATGAAATAGTTAATCATTCTTTTTTTCAGGTCCATTCAATACCAATAATTTTTCTTTCCTTGTTTAGAACTGTCATAGTGAAGAGTAAATTAAATGTGATCTGGACAAAGTGTATATTTAAGTGCATTTTCTTAATTAGTAACAGTACTTGTTCTTTACACAAACCGTGGAGGCATACTGTTTTTTTGAATTATAGCCTTTATTGTCTTTGCTATTTTCATTTTTTCTTCTCCAGTGTTGTTGTAGTAAATTGCTCAGAAAACCCACATAGGTTTGTGATACAAAACAGCAATACTATTGCATTGAATGTTTACGTCTAGCAACTGATGGAAGTTCTTTAAATATAATATACAGAGCATCCTAATTATTGTAGATGAAACCTCAGACCCTTTTTCTATTGCAGACTTTCAATCCCTACTTTACATGAGTGAGCTCTGAATAATTGAATCTTAAAATATTAGAGGTGTATAGGGAAGGACTTGGAGGTGGGGAAAAAAACCCTAAACCAATCTGGAAAACAGAGGTCCCTTCAGGTTCATAGATGCATAGTACTGTTAATTAAAATTACTATGAAATGCTGCCTTCATTACAAAAGTGATGTTAACAGTTGATGTTGCTCTTGTCTGGAGTGTTTCTGTAGAACATGTTATTCAGTATTATTTTCCAGTTGGGCAACGCAAAAGGTGTTGTTGAGTAAATGTGGTAAAAGCCTCTTATTTCCTAATGCTTTGTTATGAAAAATTAATGTTCATCACAGATCTTGCATTTCATGTGTTTTAGTGTTGAGTTTTAAACCAAAAACAAGGCTGCTCTTTATCACTGGTGCAATTTGAAATGATTGTGACCAGATATCTTGATATAATTGTGACATGGTCCCGACTTGCTGCTCTGTATCTCTATAAATTATCTAGCAGAGTATATAAAGTAATTGTTGTTAGGTTTTAGAAATGACACAGAAATGGTATAACAATAATATGGATTAATTATTGGCATGCCCTTTAAAAATAAAAATCCAAACTCTCACATTTGAGTAACGAAAAGCATTATATTGCTCACAAATACGAAGGACAGCATTTATTAAAAAAAACCCCAAACCAAAAAAGCCCAACAAACAAATGACTCCAGGAGGAGGTACAATGAGTGAATAACTGTTTAGGAGTCATTACTATGTCAAAACCAGCTAGTGAGTGGGGTATTAAATGAGAGGGAAGCAGAGTTAAGGATAAGGAAGCTATGCTGGTGTGGCGAAGTGATGTTGGAATAATGAACCTATTTCTAATGCCAGTGCTTGTTTTGCAAAAACGCTAAAATTGGAGAGGCTTCTCAGAGAAGATAAAGTAAATTAATGCAGAAGAATTCTGTTATCATCTTTTCTGTTAGCTTGTATCTATGGGGGAAATGTCCAATAGAAAATACTCTTTTTTTGGACAAAAGCATAAGGAGTTTGTGTCCTAAAGCTAGATAAGACATAGCTAAAAGTGAAAAAAAAAAATTCCAATTTTTAGTGGTGAGGCCAACCAATCATTGAGAAACTTACTGAGAAATATACTGAATTCTGTATGCCCTGAGGTTTTAAAAATGAGGTTAGCTGTCTCCCTTTAAAAAACCCAAACAAATCCAAACCCAAACCAACACAGAAAACCCCCAAAGAAATAGCTATTTATTACATTAATGAAAATGATTAAATATTGTTGAAATGGTTGCAGTTCTGAAAACTAGGAGAGAAAAGGACTGAATACTCAATTTTATTGTAACTGAATAAATGTAAATAAATTTTTGTAGCAATTTATTTTCAGGTGTGAAAACCTGTTCATGGGAAGCCTACTGAACTTACATTTTGATGACCCAATTCATTCCAGACTTAATTTTGTTGGCTGGTAGATTCTAAAATTAAAATATTAGCTTAATTCAAGAAGACTCTTCAATTATTCTGATGTATCCCTCTCTTGAGAACGGTTCGTAAGAGTACTTTCCCTAGACATTGCTCTCTCATTCTATAAACAGAGTAATCATTTTTTTTCCATTGAATGTTCTCAGGGTAAGCTTCAGAAGAAATTCGGTCAAGAGAAGTTCACTTAAAATGGTGATGTGAAATTTCCAGTCCTACTTAATGCTGTAATTAATACACCAGAAATTAGTCTTGAAACCAAGACTAATTTTGAGCAAGGTTTGATAGTCTTCGTGTCTGGCTGACACATCTTTTCAGTACATATGAGATCCTTGTAAATCTTAATATAGCTGTTCAGCAAAGAGTCAAATAATGAAAACCCTTCAGGTTATTATTACATCTATGCTATACAACAATATGAAATGATTAATTAATAACGAAAGTATTGTTGGATTTGCTTTGGCTACAGTAGAAGACCCATACAAGTCTCAAACCAAGACTTCAAATTATAACATAATTAGAATTGCTTTCATCCAGATCTTCTTCTGTTCAGCATTAACATTTTAATTATTTTTCTAAATTTATTTTCAGTGACCATTTATTGCCCCTGAAAATTGTTCCCTCACCTCAAAGATGCCTTAGGCGTTCTGTGGCCGTTCCTCAGGGTATATTTGGTATCAGAGGTAGACAACGGACATTTTTCTCCTTTGGTCCTTCACGTCCAATGTCTGGGCATATACATTCACCCCTGCCCTTCAGAGACACTGGATTGTCAAACTGATGCACACCATATTGGATATGGATAGTACTTTTCAGCCTTCCTTGCATTAAATCTTTGAGTAGCCATAGCCTGGCAGACCAGCCAAGTTTTGGTGAAGTGAGAGGGGTGAGATTGGATCACCTCCCAGGAGCACTGAAGGCAGCTCTTGCATATGCCAAGTGAATGCTTTGATCACAGGCTTGTGATGTAAAAAAAATGGACACTGCCATTGTAAAGAAAAAATGCCCTGCTCGATTTTTTGCATCAGGTAGTACATGCCAAAGGGATGGGAGATGCTTCCTTGCAGCCCCAAAGGGAGTATGTCAGGATGGGAATCAGTGCTACTATTCTTACTATCATTTGTGTAGTTTAGCTTAAGCAGCTGGGCTCTCCCTGTGCTGGCATGGAGCAGCTCCCTGCCTCGGGAGCTCACATGGAGTGGCTCAGCTGTGCCCTCTGAGCAGGGAGCAGAGGCGGTGCCTTGTCTGGGGCCTGGATTGCCCTTCAGAGAGCTGGAAGTGTTACAGAAGCTGGCATCTGAAAGGTTGTGTCAGAAGTGACCCTCTGCTATTAAGAATGTCTGTGTATGTATATATCAATACAATGTATTTTGACCAGGGCATACACAAACTTTCTGCATTTAACTAGAGGAGGTGTAGCACTGGAATGTGAGAGATGGCTGAGGAAAAAGTAATTATTTTCATTGTGTGTCTCACTGTTGACAAGCACAGCACCATTACAGTTCCAGCCGGCCAGTGAGTTTCCAGCCATGTAAACTTTGGCATATGTTCAGTATACCCTTTAGAATATATATATTTTATCAACAATCGTAATGTTTTGGAACTGCATATGCTAAGATTTATACCAAAATGTTTGCTAATATTGATAACTCTGACATGTTTAAGTATCTTTATAGACATCTTATTTTGTATGTTGTTTTTGATATTAAAGGATATATGTTTTGCTAGCCTTAACTACATTCTTTCAAGTTCTGCTTTGTTAAGAGGGTAAGAAATGAATGTCTAATGTTTTTCATGGTGCTAAAATAACTGTGATCAGCCTCAAATTATTCAGAATAAAGATGGTAGTTCTTAAGTGCCCCCTTTGTTACTGCATGCATCATTTTTAGTCTTATTCGCCTGTAAAACTTGTAATTTTTAAAAGTAATTTTATGTTATATTATGATAATTATTGAATTTAGTGTGCAGACTTCTGTCTAAAAGATTTTACATCTTTTATTACCACTGTGGTCTGAGTGAAATGTCCCCATTTGATCCTAAGTTAATATATGGTGCTACCCATATAATTCTAATTGTACTGACAATCCATTTTAAGATTAATTATTTATAAACCTTTACTTCTTTCTGAAAAAATTATCTTCTCTTTCCATTCTGGGGTTTAATATCAAACTTACAGAAAGAGATACATTCACAAAAGGCAAAAGTAAAATTGAGGGGGGGAGAGAAATGGGTAGAATAAGCTTGAATGGTGTTTTAAAAGAATTCTAATTTTTATTTTTTTTTTTTTCTCATTTTTGCTTCATGAATTGCCAGTGTAATTCAGTAGGGCCTTTGATCATTTACTGGCCTGCTACCAATTTCATTTTGATTTACCTTGGCGGCATGAAGCATGGAGTGTTTCCTCATTGACAACTTAGGTAAATCTCAGGAGTTCATTCACCTTTTCTTTGTAGTAGGGTCAAATATTTAATTTTCTTTAATAAACGTATCTGCTGATGTGGAGGAAATATCCCCTTTTCACCTGGGGTTATTCTCTAAGCTGCTTGTAGTTCAAATTTAAATTTGAAAAAGGTGCCCAAAACCTTTATAAGAGCCTGGGTGCTGTTTCCATTTGTACACTCTTGAGGTACAAAGCTTCTTTGTAAGTGTTTAAAACAACAGTGAGGACAAGCCTAGGGAATACATTTCAAATACTGCTGTATCTTTTCTGGGAAGCTGTTTTTATAAAAAGGCAAAATACTAAAACTTAAAAATGCAGTTTGACTTGTATATGACTTTCAGAAAATAAATGCTGATGTTTTATACTTGAAATTGTTTTATCTGGAATTGTCTCTGCTGCTGGACCTATGAACAGAAGCTCAGCAGTGTTTTGCAGATAGCTCAAAGTTCAGACTGCGCTCTTGCAAAAGTATTGACACGGCAGTGAACTATCCAGGTTTAAATGTTATCTCTCATTGTTACTTGTAGCAGCTAAATTTTTTTAATGCATTAATTCCCCCAGGCTACCCGGAACAGGAGTGTACTTGCAACATGCTTGCCAGTACCAGGAGAAACAGGAATTGGTTGCTACATTCTCCATGCACTGTTATATTCCAGTATATATTTGTTATGAACAACTTGCAAAACAAAACAAGCCAGTTTGGAATTATCTTTGAGTTGTTTGTGAGGCTTAAATATACCAAGTAGGCTGAAGATTCGAACCTTTCTTACAAAGAATAGCACCTCTGTTCCAGATAATGAGAATGAAACAAAACATGTTGCACAGCCTGTGAGCTGCTCCAGGTGAGTGGTGGGAATTTATAGAGTTTTATAATACTTTTATGATACCACTAGGAATGTTTTAATACTTGTTCTGAGGAGACCCAGCAGCTCTTTGCCTCTTGAGAGGGTTTATCAAAATAACGTGACAGTCACTCTAGGAGATAAAGACCTTTTATGCTCAGTTGTCTGAAAGGTTGAGTTCTGCGATAACACAGATTAAATAAATAAGTGCTGGTTTATAGGGGCTTATTTAACTAATGAGCTCCTCCCTAGCGTGATAGCGGTGTAGTATAAGACAGCAGCTGAGCGCAGGGTGCAAAGTGGAGTGTGAACTGCCCTGAGAATGCCGGCCCTGGAGGCAGAGCAGTGTTCCGAGGAGGCAGAGCAGTGTTCCGAGAAGGCACTGGCGATGGCAGAGGCGCCTCCATCCCCCTCCCCTGCCGAGTCCGGCGCTCCGGCAGCTCCTCCCGACGCCGTGCGCGGGGTGGAGCCGCGGCCGCGCTCCCCGGGCCCGGAGCGGCCCTCGGAGCCGGCGCAGGGAGCCATGGCCCTTGCGGAGCGGGAGAGGTATGTCCGGTTCTCGGGCCCGGGGGAGCCGGCGGAGGAAGAGGAGGCGGCAGGGCCGGCGGACGGCGGGCGCTGCGGCTGCGGCGGGGATGGAGCCGCCCTGCGCTGGTGCATCACCGGGGCGCTGTGCGCGGCGTTCCTGGGGTTGGTGAGTGAGTCCGTCCACGGGAAGGGGGAGAGCGGGGGGCAGTGCGGCCCCTTCCCTGCCCGGCCGGGGGAAGGGTCGGGCGAGGTGACCCCGCATCTGCCCTGCAGGGGATGAGCATCGCGGTGCTGGGTCCCACCTTCCCCAACCTGGCCGCCAACGTCGGCAAGAACGTCAGCGACATCTACTACATCTTCGTGGGCCGGTCCCTAGGATACCTGGGCGGGTCGGTGATCGGCGGGGTGCTCTTCGACTGCATGAACGCCAGTCTCCTGCTTGGTGAGTGCTGCCCCGTCGGCCCCAAGGCCACCAGGAAAATCGGCCCGTCCCAAACTGTTCAGGGCAACTTGGCCTTCTCCTCAGCTTGTGCAGCCCGAGAGGGAGAGGTGTCGCCTTTACGTAGCGGTGCCGAGTCCTGGGAAGGGGCGCCCGTGGCACATGGTGCTGCAGCTCCCCGTAAATCCCCGTGGCACTTGGTGCTGCTCCCCGTAAATCCCGGCAGTTATGCTGCTGCTCGCTGTCGCCATATTCCACCCTGTTGGATACCTGACACTACGTGTGCTCGGGCATTACAGCGTCACTACCAACAGGCTGGGCCCGCTGGGCACATCAGCAGTGGTAGCTGGAATTGAACTGACAAGATCTGTTTGGACTGAAAAGTATGGTTGGACTTTTCTTAGTTTGTATTAAGTAATGTGCCTAGCGTAGATCCTGTTGGAACGTACAGTGCCACTCCACGAAACACACAAGCAAAACAGGAAGCTGTGTTTTGGCTGTCATGCACACAGCAGAAACCCCCAGCAGTCATGCTGAGGCACGTTTCTGTGGGGAGAGTTTTCTAAAACCCTTCCCTTACTTAACACTCATCAGACATGATCATCTTCATGTGGACAGAAGTCTGGACATTTTGACTGGAGTGCATTAGCCAAATTAGAACTTACTTAAAATGGAAAACATTAAATACTGTCTGTGATGGTGGAAACATTTAAACTGTAGGAACTGCAGCTGATGATCTTAACAGTTTTCTGGACATGTGGAAACTTGCCTTGGACTGGCCTTTTTCTGGCAGACCAGGGCTGCTCAACCATCAGGGTGTCAAGAGCCACACTCAGCACCCAGAAACGAGGGGCTCCTTTTAGAGTTGTGTTAGTGTCACATTCCAGTAGAGATTCTCAGAGCACACCTAAAACAGTGGAAGCTCTGCCTTTTTTTCTTACAAGTTCAGTAGTGTCAGTGTGTGCCTTGATGCTGTAAGTTAGGGATTAAATCATACACCAGGGCTCACTCTTTTCTTCTTTATTCAGGGAAATTCAAAGAGAGTTGTGCTTTTCTTGAGGGCCGTATTGTAATCACAGGGTCAGTTCAGAGAATATGAGAAGATCCCTTTTTCTATTGCTAAATGTTTGAACAAAGTCTCTTCGTGTCCCCATGTGCCTGTCTCCTATAAGGAGCAGTCATATCATATAATGTCATTCTCCCCTCTCGTCCTCATTTTCATGGATCAGTTCTTATTTGCTCTTGCTCTAAGATGCCTATATTCAGTCTTCTCCCTGTCCTTTTCCTGTCTTCTCCAGAACACCTGCAAAGTGGGTTTCCTGTAGCCTCCTCCTTGTGCATCTGATAAGGTCAAAGTTGTCTGTGTCTCGCATTTAAGACTTTATCTTCCATAATGGAATCAGTACACCTGTGGAAGTGGATGTTAACTTGAAATAGTTTAGTATTTACTTCTTTTTCTGAGATATCATGCAGGATAGCTTTCTGTCAACAATGCTTGGAAAATGATTGATCTAATCCTTTCCAATCTGGTAGTGCGATGGCAAGACCACAATTAGAACTACTGACCCTCCTCTCAATTTTTGTCATCTGAGGCCTGCCTGTAAGAAATTTTGGCTTGTGTAGTTTTACCTCCTACCTTTCAACTGCTGGAACCCTGCTACTGTACTGAGAAAAAATTGAAGACATAATCTGTCTTTGTCAGGGTTGCTTTTAAGTGCCAGTGTGTGAAGCTGAAATGGGCAAATGAGCACCTGCTAAGAAGTTAGTTTTCAGCTCTGAATGGGGCACCTGAGAAGCTGTACTTGATACACACCATCTCTAGCATTTTTTTCATGCAGCTCAGCATGCATGCCTTCAAAAATGTTTGGAGGCATATATTCCAAGTATCTTGATAGGACTTCAGGGTTCTGGGTATTTATTTTTTCCACTGTTGTTTTTGTTTGGAATTAACCTAAATTCTTAATTATATCAGTCCCCATCAATCTTTTTAATATCTGCTGCATCTATGATCAGACATTGATTTGAAAAATAAGAGAGACATCTGAAATGATACAAGCCTTCTAAAAACATAATACTGTATATTCAAGATATTAATTGCAGATTATTTTATTATGCAGGTAATTATAAGCATAGAATTTAACTGCTGAATTTCCTCCCAAATGGTAATAAAAATAATTTTCATCTGCTAAAAAATATTTTTTGGAAAGGCATGTTCGAAATGTAGTCAGTGATGGCAAAACTAACACAGTGAATTGCTGCTAAATTTATGACGAGAAATTTTGTAGCCCTGTCTCTTAAAACTCCAGAAATCCCTTGGAATATATTCCTCATGTGGGAACAGAATATAAATGAAAGTCAGCATATACAGAGGTCTCTTGGTGGCCAAGGTGCAATTACTTTAAAGGATTTTAAGAGTTTAGTGATTTGTGTTCTTTTAAAATGGAGCCAAATGAAATGCTGTGCAGTTCTCAGAGGGCAAACTTGATACTGGTTTCGTGGTGAAGTAACATTTCTAGATCAGAAGTTTGCAGAAGACTTCCTAGTATCCTAGCAGCAGCTGCTATTCCCTTAGCTTTAGCAGGTTTGTCACACAGTGTTTATATCCTGATA